TGGCCACGTCGGGCCCCGACACGACTAACACTGACAAGCCAGATCCGTCTTTTGAGTCAAACTGTTTTTGATCGGAGTGATGCCTCAAGCTGCCTCATGCGGGGACACATCAAGACCCTTCAGCCCTCAGAACCCTCCCGGACAATTAAGACAAGGTTGTGTCAACCTTGAGTCTGTGGCTTGGCCCCTTGCTGGCGCTTCCCATGCCTCAACAACTGCCTTCTATAGAAGGGCGGCCTGGAATAGAGGCCCCAGCTGGATAGCCCTACCCCAACCAAGGTCACAATGCTTGTGGCGATGCCCAAAAATCCGAAAGATTTGCGGCCGAAAAAACAAGATTCAACGCCACCATGAAACTCCCCAAGGTTTCCAAAAGTAACGGGCTTCCCCCAACACAGATGCTTTCTATTTCTCTCCAAATGACAAGGATTTCATCACAAAGGGACCCGCCTTGGATGGAGGCCAGCCCTCCATTCACATCATCCCAGTATTCTTCGATTCAATGTAGGCTGCTGGAACAAAAGGTTCCTCGCAGATTGGCCCTGATGTACTCGACTCCATTGAGTTAAGCAAGATCAGAATTGACTGTCCGAAGGGCAGCTTGGTGTACATGCCTGTGCCAGTTTGCAAGGATGAAGACTGCTGGGTCCTCCAAAAATCTCAGCTGGCTTGTCCAAACCTTGTCGCCTCAGAAGTCACCAACATGTTGGGGTCCCAAGGTTGTCCCCTCTTGCGCGCCAGGATCCTAAAAATACTTGAGAAAGGGACCAACAAGGTCTGCTCAAAAAAACTAACCAATATTAACCAATCATATCACGTTGCGGTCCTCCCGAACCCCCCCCCCCCCCCCAATAAAAGCACCCCCGCGGAAGCTCGCAAGCCAAACAAACCGTGCCGGCAAAGGGGCTGTCATTTGTGGCTTGGCATGGGCGTAGTCAACTTCAATGCCACTATGAAACTCCCCAAAGTTTCCAAAAATCACGAGGCCACCCCCAAAATTCACTGCGTCTGTTCTTTCTATTTCTTTCCAGATGACAAGGATTTCATCACAAAGGGACCCGCCTTGGATGGAGGCCAGCCCTCCGGAAAACCCCGGACACACCCTGCGCGCCCATCCAGGCCTGCACCAACTCTGGCATCGGCGCCACCCGGACCTCCTCCTCATCGTCACTGCACACACCCGCCATGGATCGCAGCCAGGCAACCCGGCGAAAGCTAAGCAGAGCCACTTGTGCTTAAAGAAGGCGTCGGTAAGCGCGTGTGGGCATGACAAGGCGCGTGCCAATGTGCTCTCAAAAGCTCAGTTGCGCGTGCGGGGGTAGGTGTCTGTGGATCCTGGACCTGGGCTGCGGTTTGGGGCAGGTCGCCACGGTCACCGAAAAGAACATTTGGCACTTTTTGGAAGGACACTGTGGCAGTCAGCGCACAAGAAGTCAAACCATGTGCAGAAGCGAATGGCACCCCACGTGCGCTTATCCGCGCCTCCTGTAAGCACATACAAGTTGCAAGCAGCACATATCTACGCGCCATGCTGGTCTCCCGTGCGCTTACCGACGCCTCTCGTAAGCACAAGTCTCGAGGAAACTAAGAAAGTTGGAGCTACACAGATTCGGCGCTCTTCTCTTTGGTTGCTGATGCTAATTGCTTCCACACATGTCCGCGTGCTTTGCACTTCTACACCGTGAGCCAATTTGATTGTCTGGCTAGTTGCGGATGGCTGGCCGTGTTGTAGCTGCTTGTGCTGGTTCCTGAACACTTCCCGAGGCAAGCTTGTCTGCAGCAAAGTTGAGTATGGCCTTCCACTTGCTGGGACACCATGCGTAAATTGTTACAGAAAGCGCTGTGTCGGGGTATGTTACATTGTGCTTTGAAGCCCTCAGGGCTACATGGACACAGGTGCGCCAGTCGGGCCTTCATCAGGTCCACTACGCAAGCAACTATGCGTGTTTTACTACGCTGTTTGCTGACAGGACCCGCCACGCCATCTCTGGTTGCTTTTGCATTTAGAGGTTACACGTGTGTGGGTGGAACCATAGAGAGGGCTGCGTCCCTTTATCAAGATATCGTGTTCGAAGTGGCCAGGTTCACAAATGCCAAAAATATGTTGTCACAAATGGTGTTGAGATGCTGCTATTGAATCTCGCAGTCCAGTTTGTTTTGTTCTGCTCGGTTACTACCCCTAACATGTATCCTAGCTCTCCCCTGACCTACCAAAGCCCTCATTCTCATGACCCTACTACGACCAAAACCCTGGCTCCTATTATGGGCGATGGGTCTGTAGTCCTGGTGTAGGTTTGAAGGTTTAGGCTGAGTCAAGGATTTGGAGTTTAAGCGTTATGTGTTTAGAGTTTTTCGCTTTCAGGTTTTAGGTTTGAGGCCCAGGGGGGTTTAAGACTCGAGGCCTGAAGGCCCTGAAACCTCGGATATAGCGGGGCAGGGGGTTTATGTGGTACCTTAATTTGAAGATAAAAGCACTGCGACGGCGATCATTTCCCCGACTGTGCTGGCTCTATCAAAGCCCTCATTCCTATGACCGTGCTACGACCAAAGCCCTGACGATTATGGGTCTGTAGTCATGGTATAGGGTTTAAGGTTTAGGCTGAGTCGAGGGATGTGGAGATTGAACAAAACACCAAACTAAACACAACCTAACCAGCCAAGAGACAAACATACCAACCAAACCAACCAACCAAACCGACAAACACACCAACAAACATGAAACAGCACAGAGCATGGCCAACAGCCAAACACGCTCTGCGGCCTAAACAGTGAAATTGTTGCTGGCAACAGAGAAGACAAGATCCCCAGCGGCGAAAAGGGAAGTTCAACCTAACCTGGCAATTTTGGTTGGGCGCAAAAGGCTTTGGGGAAGCCGATGCCCCTTCTGAAACTGCGTGTCATCTTGGCAGTGGGAGCCCTAGCACGCCCTCACGAAACCATGTGCCACAATGCCACAAATTACCCTCCCGCAAAAAATGGAAGCAGGGCCTTTTCTAAAAGGAAGGTAGTCTTCCGAAATGGTTTTTGGACCAAGCAATGGGAGGAAAGTGACAAAAGTTCGACGTTTTTTTTACAATGCTTCTTCTCCGCTGGGCCAAAAGCCAGCCTGCGAGTGACGCGCTCGAAGATCGGCAGCTGCGATAGCAGCCGCGGTCTCCGCACCTCTCCGGCCCCGACACTCACTCCACGCACACACCAATTCCACATGTGCGAGGGCAAGGCTTCATCGCTGGCAACATGCACAGGTTCCGCCAGAACATGACAGCCAAAGAAACATCCAGGATATTTGGTTTGGTCCGTTGCTCATGTGCCATCAAAGAAAATTGCCAAGCACGTGTAGGCTCCCACCCAACGTTGGAGGAATTTTCGTTCGCACCCATGTCACCTCAAGGCGCACCCCTGCCTTGAGGCTTTGAGCAGTGGAGTAAGCAGAAGACTTGAAGGGGCACCATCTCTGGAGACCCTGCCAAGCATCACAAAACTAAGTCTAAGTTCGCAGAAGAACTTAGAAAATGCCACCGTGCTTCAGAACCCCTGCCTCGCCTTCGCCGAAGCACTTCGCAGAACCCTCTGTAGAACTTCCAAAAAATAGGCAAGTAGAGAACCTGCTTCCCAGAACCGTGTTTTGCCGACGTACTTCGCAGGACCCCTCACCGAAGAAAAACGTGCAGAACGAATGCTGGGAACACAGCGCGCTGTCTCCCTTCTTTTTGCCTCGCGGGTTCCGCCCACTTACTATTTGGTGCCCAGCTCGCACCAAACCTGGAGCCCTGACAATGTGGAATCTAAACCGCAAAAATGCTTGGCTCTTCTTTCAAGCGTTTCGACAAGTTGACTAGCTAAGCACATTTGATTTTCAATATTGATCCCAAATGCTTTTATGTGCCGTACGCACTTACTTTGATGTTCAAAGGCAATAGTTATTCAAATTGTCTAAAGCAAGCAAACTTCTCCGGATTGATCAATTTTGTTTCCTCACATTTCCCTTCCAATCAACCCCAAAAACAGAGTCTCTTGAAAAAAGGTACACCCCGCCAAAATTGGGATCCTCCAAACCAAAACCAAGGGGCTAGCCTCTATAATATGTATATATACACACATGGTCATGAGTCATGTGTATATATATATACATGGTCATGAGTCATGTGTATATATATATATATATGTTGCGCATTATGTCCAAGAGATCCCAAAGGCCCATTTGCCCGGGCCTACACACACCCACGGTCCCCGGCCTGAGACCGGCAAAAGACAGGCACACCCAAGCTTGGAGCCGAAAGCGGGCGCCTTTTGCCTACCGTCTTGATATGCGGCTTCCTGACTTGGCTGGGCCGGCGCCAAGACATAGGCCTGCGTTCTGTTTAGCGTATTGACCTAGCACTTCCACACGATGGTGTTTTTGAATTAAGCGCATTCGCGCAGACTGGTGAGTTGCAATTGCTTCCCAAATGGACTGGCCGAAGCTGCTTAGCTCTATGCACTCTTTTACGGCAAGCATCCGTCTGATCTCTTGTGGATCCTGATGGTAGGGTCTAAATTGGCTTCACTAGCAGGGTCTAAAATGCTCATGGGACGATTCTAGACCCCTAGCCTTTAAGCCCCCAGGGGTGCCTGAGGGTATGTAAATAAAATGTTCAGGGTTTGCACACATATGGGGAACTTTCCTCCCGTCGGAGTTCGAGGCATCTGTTTCCAGTTTGGTGTAGCGGCCCCTTAGAAGTACGGTTGGGGTAGGGGGTGAGGCGCTGGCAGTGTGCACTTGCAGGCTGGGGGACAGAGGTTGGAAACCCCCATTTCATAGGGGACCTAACGTCACCCCTCAGTACGAACGGGGATATTTAATTTCTTTGCCTATGCTATGGCGGTTGGGTTTCCCTAAGGCCAATACACCAGAGAGGCTCTTACTAGTTAGTAGTTTTCAAAGACGCCGGGTTTCCTCAGCCCGCTTGCAGCCTCCCCCTTGAGCCTTGATCCGAGATCGTCGGTCGGGAGTCGTCCAGGACTTTGTGAAGCTCTTCCGTCAGGAGCAGGGGATCACGCGGGCTTGATCACGGAGATACAAGGCCTTGTATCTAGTTGAAAATGGGGGGGGGAGTTTTGGAGTTCGGCCCTTTTTGTGGTATTCTCCACCTTTTTTGTTCTTCCTTTTTTTTGCGGGGGGGGGGGGGGGGGGGAGGTGCGTAAAATGTCAAGTATCAAAGTGGCCAGTTTTCCACTTCCAGGAGGGCAAGGTCTTGCGCTTCAAGGCCAAGTTCGCGAATCCCAAGCCGGAGGCCCCCGGCGGCCGTTTCGAGATCGACCGCGGCCGGGGGAAAAACTGCGCGGATCGATCGGATTGTGCGTTTTGACATTTTGAGCGCCGGAGGTTCGTATGAGAGAGAGAAGAACTACCAAAAAACAACGGGAAAGCGAAGGGACGCCACCAACAAGGGGTCCCTATTTTTTGCAGAAGCTGCCTTTTGTTGAAGACGCGGGGATAAATTTGTTGCAAAGGAGGCCCCTGCCAGTCTTTTTGCGAGGGTTTTCTTCAAGACACGCAGATTCCAGTTGGCTGGCCAGCGACCGTTGCCACGTGATGTGGGTGTGTCTTGGCTTCCCGTTTTTTGGGGTGTTTTGAAGGGCAACCGATGGCTAATGGGGCCCTATTTGGATGTGTCTCAAAACAGCCCCCCCCTCCAAAAAAAAAACAGAAAAGAAAGAAGTGTGGCTTCCTTTTGGTTTCCTATGAAAACCAACCCAACGTGGGTACCGACAAGCTCATGTTTGTCAGGATGCGGACCGCATTTTCGTCATCAGCTACTACCTGCAGGACACCATCCGTCTGGTACTGGGGGCCCGTGGACAAAAGCTGAGCCCCCGCGCGTGATTCATCCGGGGTTAACATCACCCTGGGTGCCAATTGCTCATCGCCTTTACCTGTGAATCGTGGCGTCGCCTCATGCGGTGATCCAGTACTGGGTCTCCTCCAAAACAGTTTGGTATTTTGGGGGTTGACTTACTTATGGGGTAGAGTTAGAAGACATATTGCCATGGGTCAAAAGCCAAATCGTACCCCCAGTGAACATCCCAATCCCCACTAAAATAGGTTCTAAAATGGGTGGCGAATTCACCTACCAACCAAAATGGGATCCCAAAACGGTTTTGACAACCACAGCCATATCTTTTGGGAGTACCCCACAGGCCGGCCAGAGGCACCCCCTCGCGGGCAGTTGCTCGATCACTCGAACCCTGGAAACTGCCAAGGTCATGGAGAGTACGCCCATCACAAGCGGCTAGTATTTTTGGGGACCATCCCCAATGAATCCTTGCATTCTTAGCTGAGTTGGCAAACTATAAGATTTTGTTGGGTGATGTGTTGCGTCCTTTTGGGGACAATCCCAACCATAAACAGCGGCCGCCCTTTCTGTGCTTTACATGGTTTGGGCAGACCACTCAGTATTGAGATGCCAGGTTTTGACTGTGACTCTCAGTATTTGGGTGTGCCTTTTTCTAGGGGCCCCCAGAATGGTGGATTTTCCTGTTAGTTTTGCTTCAACCCCCCCTCCCCCCCCAAAAAAAAAACCAACAATGACATAAAACACGAGGGAAATGCACCTTCAACACAAGAGACTAGTCTTTGGGGGTTAGGCCCTTGGTGTATCGCAGAAGTGGATTCCATTTCAACCGCAGCCCTGGACTTGAGCACGCAAATGGATGGTGAGGCAAATGCTTGGTACCTGCCATAGGCAACAAAATACATCCCAGCCACTGCACCTGCGATCGATCCAATGGATGTGCTGAGGGAGTGCTCTCGGGTACCCACGTCAGGACGATACCGTGGCCATCCACGAGCCGCCGCAGCGGAACTTGGGCCACACGGCGAGATAGATCAAACGCCGTCTCCGCCAAGAGTTTTTTATTTTTCATCTCTGGGTGTTTCTCTCTTTTTGGGCTGGACCCCTCAAAATGCTGGTAGTAGCCATCTACTCCAACACGACGTTAGTTCATGTTTTTGGCTTGGACCCCTCAAAATGCAGGTGCTCCCGTTTGTTTCCCTTTGAATCGCTTAGACACCACAAGCAAGGGCACCAAAGAAAGACACACCCATTTCAGAGCAGAGTAAGGACATTGTGGCTTTTGGAGTACAGATGCTCTTTTAGAATACCTTTTTTTCCCGAAAGCATGGCGAAGGGTTCTTCCGCTGGGTTCACTTGAGTTGTTCTCATGAGAGCCATTACAAGGTGTCATTGCAAGGAATCATCATCATGAAAGTCATTGCAAGGAGTCATTGCAAGGAGTCATTGCAAGGAGTCATTGCAAGGAGTCATTGCAAGGAGTCATTGCAAGGAGTCATTGCAAGGAGTCATTGCAAGGAGTCATTGCAAGGAGTCATTGCAAGGAGTCATTGCAAGGAGTCATTGCAAGGAGTGCAAGGAGTCATTGCAAGGAGTCATTGCAAGGAGTCATTGCAAGGAGTCATTGCAAGGAGTCATTGCAAGGAGTCATTGCAAGGAGTCATTGCAAGGAGTCATTGCAAGGAGTCAAGGAGTTGCAAGGAGTCATTCATTGCAAGGAGTCATTGCAAGGAGTCATTGCAAGGAGTCATTGCAAGGAGTCATTGCAAGGAGTCATTGCAAGGAGTCATTGCAAGGAGTCATTGCATTGCCAGGAGTCATTGCAAGGAGTCATTGCAAGGAGTCATTGCAAGGAGTCATTGCAAGGAGTCATGGCAAGGATTGCAACTTGCACTTGACTCCTTGCACTTGCAACTTGCACTTGACTCCTTGCACTTGCAACTTGCACTTGACTCCATGCACTTTGCACTTGACTCCATGCACTTGGCTCCTTGCACTTGGCTCCTTGCACTTGCAACTTGCACTTAACTCCGTGCACTTGCGACTTGCACTTGACTCCATGCACTTGGCTCCTTGCAACTTGCAATGGCTCTCATGACTCCTTGCAATGACTCCTTGCAATGACTCCTTGCAATGACTCCTTGCAATGACTCCTTGAAACAAGCAAGGAGTCAAGTGCAAGTTGCAAGTGCAAGGAGTCAAGTGCAATTGACTTGCGAGGAGTTAAAATCTCTTCTTAGGGCGGCGGGGTAGTGCCGACGACACTACACGAAAATCGACCCTCTGCGGGGATCGGCGTGGTCGAGGTGCAAAAACCCATGGTTTTTTCCGATTTCCAACATGCCCGCGCGACCCTCTGCGGGGATCGGCGTGGTCGAGGTGCAAAAACCCATGGTTTTTTTGCGATTTCTAACATGCCCGCGCGACCCTCTGCGGGGATCGGCGTGGTCGAGGTGCAAAAACCCATGGTTTTTTGCGATTTCTTGCTCGCGCGACCCTCTGCGGGGATCGGCGTGGTCGAGGTGCAAAAACCCATGGTTTTTTGCGATTTCTGCGGTGCCCGCGCAACCCTCTGCGGGGATCGGCGTGGTCGAGGTGCAAAAACTCAGGTTTTTTTGCGATTTCTGCGGTGCTCGCGCAACCCTCTGCGGGAATCGGCGTGGTCGAGGTGCAAAAACTCGAGGTTTTTTGCGACTTTTGTTGTTCGAACTGGTCCTCGGGAGTTGTCTCGTGGTTCGCGCGCCTGCTCCCGGAACCGGCGGGTCCCGGGTTCGATTCCTCCCTGGTCCGCGGGCGGGCGTCGCAAGATGCAACTTGCATTTTAAAGCAACTTGCGCAGAGCAACTTGCGCAGAGCAAGTTGCACAGAGCAACTTGCGCAGACCAACTTGCACCGACCAGTTTGCGCAGAGCGCCTTGCCTAGAGCAACTTGCGCAGAGCAACTTACGCAGAGCAACTTGCACAGAGCAACTTGCACAGAGCAGCTTGCACAGAGCAACTTGCAGGGAGCGCAATTTGCACAGAGCAACTTGCAGGGAGCCACTTGCAGGGACCAACTTGCCAGAGCAACTTGCGCGGAGCAACTTGCGCAGAGCAACTTGCACAGCGCAACTTGCGTAGAGCAACTTGCGCAGACCAACTTGCACCGACCAGTTTGCGCAGAGCACCTTGCCTGGTGCTGTCTCGCGCTTGCTTCACAAATGCTTCGTGTAGGGATGCAGCGTTGGGCCGACCTCGCTTGCGATGTTCTGCTTTCGGGCCAACCGTGGTCTAGTTTTAGGTTGTTTCAAAGGGAAGACAACAGGAAAACTCCTGTTTGGGGGAGGTCCCGAGACAAACCCAGACGTTTCCATGTTGCGGGTCGTTTATACAGACGGCGCTCGTTCGGCTAGCTGAAAGTGAGTGAGTTTCTCCTTGGGCCATGTTTGAAGGGGACGTACTTACAAGGTTTTTTTTTTTTAATGAGATTCCTTTTTGAAAAAAAGGCATCGGTTTTCCTTTGGGTTTTTCTCCAAACAATTATCAAGGGACATACAAGGCTGTGTCCGTTTTCAGACGACCCTCAATATGGCTTCGGTTGTCCTTTCGGTGTTTCCTTTAAAAGAGCCATCAAACATGGTGCACCCCCAAAAAAACAACACACAAGGTGACCCTGATTGTGGCGGTCCCGGCCTCCACTTTTATTTCCAAGAGGGGCAATCAACACAGGACCTACGGTGGAGCACCGATGTGCGGAGCAGCCGTTCCTAGATGACAGTTTGGATAGAAAATTTATATTGGCACCCAGGATTGAACCCCTCATTTGATTTCGATTGGGGGTGTGCCCTTGTGGAGCCCCGATTGCATATTAAAAGCTCAAAACTAAACAGGAGGGGCAAACCGCAGGTATTGGTCCATGTTTCCACTTACCACGGTTCCATTGTGCCGGTTTTTTGAGCGGCAGCCAAATGAAAAGGATTTTTCAATCCGGGATCAACATTCGGTCCTCTTGTCGAATGCTCGACCCGAGTGCTGCCACCCATTCATCCCAGTTACCAAGGTTACCCACCCTTGTAGGTGTTTATTGAACTCTTGAGGGCTTTAGGTTAAAAAGGCAAAGGCGGGGATGGAACACGTGGAGGGCACTCGTTACTGTTTCTTTTTAATGACACCCGGTGAATGACTGGTTGCAGAGTCCCAGCATGATCAGTTTGGTTGGTCAAGAGCTGAGCTGGATATGAGCACCGGACAACATTCGCAGGCTATCGATTTTGGTGGTTCCTGGTTGATGGGTCCCCTATCAGTTTCTGCTGGAGGGAATATGGGTTTATCCAAGCGCATACAGATCAACCCTCCAAGGGCCAATTCACGCTGTGCTTATTTTTCAGATATTCACCTTTGTGGTCTTAAAGGAAAACCGCCAGGAAAACTCCACATGATCTCCACATGTTTCCCTTGCCCTGCCTTGCCAAGGTATTGTCACGGGCCGCTTCTTGGAGAAAGGCACGGCTCTGAACGCAAATACGGATTCAGTTGGGTGGCAAGGAGACCAATCTGTTTTAACGGGCCTCTAGCTTTGGACGTCTCGAGTTTTGTTGCCACATTTCGTATTTTTCCCGAAGTTTTGTGTGTGTGATTGTGAAATTGACGATCTCACATTCTTTCTCATCTTAAAGGGCTTAGATATAGAGTTGATGGCCGCAGTTGGGCCACCCCGCCCGTGACTCATCAGGCTGCGACATGTCCACCAAAGGGTCAACCAAATGAAATTATGACATACTCATCTACTAAGAGGGCTGAACCGCCACATTGCTACTTCAGTTCCCTTTACCATTCCTGTTCAAATCCTGATTTAGGCCTAGCAAGGGGAGGCACGGGAAGATTACGGACCTGAATGGTCCTTATTGGCCCTTAATGGTCACTCACAACAACGAAGCTTGCCTCGTTTTTTGTTTTGTATGCATATATATATATATATAGTGGTTGTTCACGTGTGGCCAGTCAGGTCTTATTGGGGAAACACACATTTTCCCGGGGCCACGTCGTTCCGCAACTTTATTTTGAAGGGAACCCCGGCCAGAAAGTCAACACATGTTTCTGGCGCAGCTGCGTTGTAGTCAAAACAGAGGGACCCCCCAAATAGTGTTATTTTTTGTAGCCAACCTGCAAAGGGTACTAACTCCAAAAAAGCGGCCGGATTGGCGCTCAGCTCCCGTCGGCTCGCTTCGCGCCAAAAAAAAGAGACCGGACCATCGCTGGCTGGTTCTTTCCCGGCGCCAGGAATTCACATGAATCAGATCACGGGCCAGCTCTTCCAGCCCAACGACCTCATCCCAGGCGTGGGGAGAAGGGAGTTGGAAGCTGCCAAGCGATGTCAAAGGCGGAATGTATACGTTGGCCAGCCCTCCATTTTTGAATAGCGGATTTGGTTGGAGACTCCAGGAGGGCGTGTTGGATCCTGCAGCTTGGCTATTTGGGTTTGTTTTGGAGCTTGGGTTTCTTTTGATTGCTCCTTGAAACCCACCCAAAGGCCATGTCGGTTTTCTTAAGTTTCGAATGGAGCTTGCTCGGCCCTGAGGCAACACCATCAAGGTCTACAACAACGAGTTCCTCATCGTGGACATGGATGAGTACTCGAAGAAGGCATTCTCCTCCCGCAGTAGGGGGGTGCTCTGGGTCTTCGACAACGGACGAAAACACGGCAGACGTGCGAATTGAGCGTGTCTACCCTTTTGTAGTTAAGGGAGACGGCAGACGTGCGAATTTGAGCGTGTCTACCCCTTTCTTACAGTTTTGAAGGGAAACCAAGAGGAGAACTATCATTTTTTGAGGTTCCCTCAAATAAGAGACACCCTCATTTGTTTGGAGGTTCGGGTACCCCCCGTTTCTGGGTAAGGGAACACCGTTCCGACATGTTGGGAGTCCACATGTTTGATCTTGACCTGGGATTGGTTGCCTTGAGAATTGTCCAAGGCGAGCAAAGCTAGCGACGCACAGAAAGTCGGCTGAGTTGGTTACCTGTGCTTTCCCTTTGGCCAGTTGCTTTTTCTGTCTCTGCGGGTTTCACGTAGCAATTTTGGCCAAAACAGGCACATGTTGAAAGGATTCATATATGTGCCAGGGTCAAAAGACCCGTCATCACCCAATGATTCATATTAGGGCAACTATGACCATAGGCCACAGGAGTTTTGACCATGGCACATATGTATGTATCCTGGCCGCAGGTTCCCTTCTCATTGGGTTGTGTCTTAGGAATCCCTCGGTGTGTCTCATCAAGCCAAAGGACCATTGCACAGCCAAGAAATATCCCATGACAGATCCAGGGTGTCAGAATAGAGGAGCCCGGCGCCACCGACATGAGGCTTTGCTTGTTTCCTTATTTCACCAACCTGCAAAGGGTACCTTTAAACAAAAAAATCATGGAAAACACACGCATATACATACACACACACACACACAGGTCTTTGAGGCAGCCCACGTTTGCCTGGTTTTTTAATGATCAAAGAGCCCAAGGGGGTTCCTTGGGAGCTACCTTCAGGGACCTTCCATGCCAAAATTTGTTTGTTCTTCGATTCGTCCCAGTGGCACAATGTGGAACAACCATCAACCATACCCTGGTCACCATGTTGTAGGAGTCAAGAGGAGGGTGTTGGAGCAATAGGTTTTCAAGACATGGGTTTACCAGTGGGGGGCTTGGCCGAACCCTGATTTCTGCGCGTCTCTATTTTGGAGGTCCATTGCATTGGGTTTACGGATCGTTTCAGATCGTTTCAGCCCAAAAGGAAGCCAACCAAGCCTTTTGATTGAGCACCCATTTGGTGGGTGGTCTGCAGTTGGCTTGGTTTCATCACCTTGCCTTCAATTGTTGGTGGTTTGGATTTGGTGCTTTTTGAGCTTAGGGGCGGTTTAGCACTAGCCCTCTACAAGACTCAGGGCTTGAACTCCTCAAACCGCCACTCCAAACCACCAGCTGAGGGTTTTTTGCTTTCAACGGCACCCGGGGACATCGCCGCCTCAGCTTCGCCGCGCGAGGTCTTCGAGAACCCGGACGCCTTGCTGCGGGTCTTCGATCTGGAGGCGGTCCTGCAGAAGATGCGCGACTCCATGCGCCAGCAGTACCCCCTGGTCCGGGACATCTTCAGGCGCGGCCTGGGGTCCCTCGATTTCTTGCTCTTTTTTGTTTCTCCGAGAAAAAGAAGAGGAAGACGCACTTTTATTGACACCCGCCAGTATGTTTTTTGTTTTTCGAGGGAGAAATGTTGGGGGCCCGTTCAGGCGCCAAGTGGATCCCATTTCAGACCCTCGTCAGGAACCAAACCCGGGAAAGTCATGAGAATGCCGCCTTCAAGGGCAACAAAAACTGGGTGTGTGGGGGTAGGGGGCAATTTTCCATGTTGGTGCCCAGCTGAGCCCAGAACGAAGCCGGCCTCCCCACTTGAAAGCTACCGGAACCTGGATCGATCTTCCTGCATCCTCAAACACCGTCTGGACCATGAACCCTAAACCTTGCCCAGTGCGAAGCATCGGATGCTCAAGGATTCGAATCCCACACACACTTTAAAGATTCCTGCAAGGTACCACGGAAAGTGACAACCCAAAAACACCTTCCGCCCTTTCCTCCCCCTCCTCCCAACCCAAGCGTTAGCACCGCCCCTCTAACCCTTCCCTGCAAACCCAGACCAACCACCCCAGCCACCCCCAGCCACCCCAGAAAAGCCAACTTGGGCACCCCTTGCCAGAATCTATGGAAAGCTCACACGTTGTGACCAGGTTTTGACAAGTTGATTGATCAGCCCGTTCTTGGTTTGTTTTGTTGTTTGGGGGTGTTTGGCGGATGACTTTTTTTGCGACGTTGCATCCCCTATTCGTCTTTTCCTGGTTGATAAATCTGGGGTCAGCATCAACATCCAACAACAAAGTTGACTTGAAGTGCACGTTCGACCATGTTTGAGCCTTGGAAGACAAAACCGTTCCTTTGGGCTTTGAGGGATTCTGCGCACGCCGTTTGTTGGCAAAAGGGGGGAATTGAAAAGACACATTCCTCAGGCATTCCTCTAGATATTGATGGGCATCTCGCTAGGGATCATTTTTGTTGGTTGCGCAACCCCGTAAGAAGAGGTGCCATTTGTTTGACCCAGCAGAGATCGGTGTTGCATTCAGGCGCTTCGACGGAGATCATGACGGCGTGCCTTTGCCGCAATGAGCATGAAGTCCTGCCTTAAGGACTGTCAGCAACTGACGCCAGCTGACGGCAAAGGGATGACACACGACCAATATGGATGTGCGTTTTGAGGCTGCACTTTGCCACCATGGTCTAAAGGGAAGCCCAAAATCTAGCCACGCGCTTTGGGTGCCGCCCTATTTTGCCGCATACCCATGTTGGTAGTGTACTGACAAATTCCATTCCGCACAAGATGGGATGGGTGGTTTCCCTGTGAATGAGAGATCGGGCAATCCCAAGTGAGCGGCGATCAAAACTCCGAAAATCCTGTGAATAAATTTCGTCTTGGGGGGCCAAAATGGGAAGGATTGGCTCAGGGCGCAGAAGCTTGCGGAAGCCCGCGGAAGCTCAGATTGGCAGTTTCTGTCTTGCTCGCTCAAGCAAGTTTCTTTTTTTGGCGCCGGCTTCCTTAGACATAGGCCAACAACCCGCAACCAATTTCTTTAGGCCAAGCAAATCGTTTGTATTGCGCCCCAGCACAAGCCAACAAACCAAAGGAAGGAACACCAAAATCAAACAAGGGAAGAATTGAACCCTTGCATCTAAATAGGCGCGGTGGCTAGCAACCGTGTCCAGGCTGCAGACTGATTCGCCCCAGCCCTCTGGCCACAGGGAGCGCTAGCTTCACATTTTCTTTTCTCCTTTGTGAAGTCCACCAAGGCCCCTGACTGCGCCAAATGCAAGCCAACAAAGAAGAGATTTGAAAATTTGGGCCAAGCAAATTGTTTTGCTTTTGGCGCAGTCAGGGGTCCTAGACATGTTTTCCTCACCAAGAACCTGGCGCCAAAGAAAGAGGTTTGTTTGTGCCAGACAAATTGTTTCCTGGCCCGACTCACTCCGGCAGACGAAATGAGGAACAACCGCGATTTATTTGGCTCAGACAAGTGCTTTGCCAATATGTTTGGGCCAGCACCCAAGCAATGCATGCTTAGATTGTTTTTGAAGCCGCATAGATGCACATCATATCCAGGCACCAGCTTCTTGACCCACTCCGGCCCTCATTTTCCATCCTGTGAGGTCGCAAAACCAAAATGAGGAATAACGATCGCGCGAACAAGGCTTCGCATTTACCTTCATTTACCCCAGCAAGGGCCCAACAGAAATTTACTCTGACCGTGGGGGGGCAGCCGCGGAAGCAAAATGCAAAAACCCAAGCCGCGGAAGCCCGCGGAAGATGCGCGGACACCGGTCCCAATGGCCTTCCGTCCTTTTGTTTTGGTGAGCGCTCAAGTGGGTCTGCCACTCTTTGGGACACCTCCAAAGTGGGTGGGTTTTCCTTTTGGCTTGTTAAAACGACACCGAAAGGAGGGGGTCATCTCTCAGAAAGGAGCCGCGCCACCGGTTTGTGGTGCCGCCGACTTGGGCGGATCGCGGGTTGGGTTTCGAGAGGTGCTCACCGTGGCAGAGTTCCAGCAAGCCCTCGAGAAGTTCGGCTTCCAGCTGGCTCCGGAGGACGAAACGACTCCAAGAAGCTGGACGACTCGAGAGAACCCCTCCCCAACACAAAGATAAATATAACACAAACTTACACAAACACCAGAGGTGGGTGTCAGCTCACTTTAAGTTCAAACACGTGACATCGAGGCAAAGAAGCAACTGGATTGTTCGAAATCAATCATGAATCCTTGTGCCAGATTTGTAGTCGTTTCCCTTGCCCCTGCATTCTGAACAACGGGCGGGACTTGCGCTGGATATCTTGCAGGCCAATGCAGTTCTAAGAGGGTTGTCTTTTCGCTTCCATGTGCTGGTTGTGAGGGTGACCATTCCCGAAAGAAATAGAAACAATGCTAGACCCTTCCATGTCTGCCTTTGTCTGCCTTTGTATGGCTGCACCCTTTTCGCATGTTTGCGTAAGCTTAACCAAACTCAGTTGGAGAGACACCAATACTTCTCTTCACGCATTCTACCTGAAGAATTGCCGCCTTGGAATTCCGAACGCCTTGGCGCCCGTTTGTGGACCCTTGTTCCACCTTGTGCCGTTGTTCAAGAGGGATACCAACACCCAGACCTTCCGTGGTGTCCTTTTCATGTTTTTCTGGAAGGCGTAAACCCCTCAACTCCCGAAAATGAAGAGTGTCCGAGATTTAATTTAACTCACTCCCTGAGTTCCAGGTCTTTAGTAATCTTTTGAGAAGACCATCTTCGTGGCAACCAAAATTTGGGACCCGTTTTTGGCCAAGGAAGTGAGCAGTGAGGAGGTTGTTGGCTCCCGGGCCCCTTGACTGTGCTCTCATCCGTGGCTTGGAGCCCGGTTTGGTGGTTTGGTGGTGTTTTCAGGGTGGTAAGCCCCAGTTACCGTCTAAAAGACGGGGTTCAAATCCAAACTCAAACAGGGTTTCAAACCGACGGTCACCCATTGCGGGCTACCTGACATGACTTTTCCTGGTTCAACCCACTCGATCGGATGTCCGGAGGTTTTTCCGTTTTTCTCTCGGGCCGCGAGTGACCGAGTGACTGGCGGCGTCGCTCAGCAGGACGTGCTGAAGATCATGCGGCACTTCGACACTCGGAAGGACGGGCAGGTGAGCTACAACGAGTTCTGCGACGCCCTGCAGGGACCTCAGTCGTCAAGAAGGGCTGGTCCGGGTACTGACAGTTGGTACTAAGGTGTGTCTCAAAATAGGATAACTTCCCCACTGAAACAAGAAAAACACAAAAAACAAGTGGTTGTGCTTTTGGCTTGCATTTGAAACTAGCCAAAAGAATGCCCCCTCAACAAAAAGACCAGAGTTCCTAAGACAACCCTGGAAAGAGCAGTTTGAAGGGCGACCAAGTTTGAAGCTTCCCAGCACCGCCAACTTAACTTTGCGGCTGAGTTCCCTGCTGCAGAAACAAGAGGGTGAAGCTCGGAGTTGCAGCCGGAAGCCAATTGTTCACCCTGAAATTCCCTTTTTCTTTGGTTTCTCCTGCTCTAAACCGGGAACATAGGTGTCCTTTGTGGTTGTTTTGGCAAAAAGTAGAAGGCGATTCCTGGTTGACCTGATTGTTTCATAAATCTACGAGGGAAATGAAACTATTTTCCCGAAGAGATAAGGACAGCTATGAAGCCCAGAAGGTGTCCCTCTGTGAGAAGCCTTGCAAAGCAAAGCCGTTCCCGCCTCCAAAATTAATCGCCATGTGTCAAAAATAGGAATTGGACCCCCCCAAAAAAAAACAAATGCCGCAACGGTCTTCCTGTTTTGTTATCATTATTATTATTTACCAACCCCGAAAGGGTACCCTCAAAAACACAAAGACACACGCACAAACGATTTGTGCTTTTTGGGACTAACTACGAAGCAGACCCTGAGCATCGTATTTTCTGTTGACCAAATTTTCGGGAATTGCATTCAAGCGATCGCGAGCGAGCCAGAGTTAGTTTGTGTACGTCCAGGCTGGATCCGGATTGGACCACGGTGATGATGCACACCAAGAATCCTTTGGACGCGCCGGCCCCGGCTTCCTCGGGTAGTATGGACAAACTCCGCGTTTGAACCCTGGGCACCACGAAACAAACGGGTGTGGCTGAAAATTGCAGAGCTACGGTGACGACTTTTAAATATGTGGGGGCCGGGCCTGGGCTTCAGGGCTCGGAGGTAGTGTAAGACATTTGTTTAAATCGGATATTTAAAGTGGCTGGCCGGGCCACCCTCACGGGCCCTGGAGGTAGAATGAAATACCAATTAGGATATTTAAATGGCAACACCGAGACAGACCCCTTCCACGCAAAAAAGCAGGGCGTAACACAATTCAAGGCCTTGCTAGCAGCTGCGTTGCGCTAGCTCCTGCCAAGCCAGGTCAGATTGCACAGGTCCAACCTAAGGCGCTATGTCGGTACTATGCTTGCGTATGCATTGCGGAGCTAAGTGCGCTGAATTGAGCTGCCCAAGCCCTGTGTACGTGGCGCGTGGAGAAACAAAGCAAGAAGAACATGAATGCCCCTTGTCTCGGACGGGACTCCCAGATTTCCTTGAATTCTTGAAACTCCTGGCGTCTTGGGATGGGAGCTTCTTTTAAACAAATCTCAGAATGAAAAGAATTGCGAGAGAGAGAGAGAATGCCTGGATCTGGCATTCGGCCCTGTGTCAGACCTGTTTCAGACCTGTTTCAGACCCCTGCAAAAGTACCATCTCAAATCCGCAAAACCCTGCCCCGAATCCCCAGCACCAGTATAGCGGTATAGCGGTGCAGCGGCTCGCGGGCCGTGGAGGTAGTATGAAACACCAATTGGGACACGGTCCAACACTGATGCCTGCAATTGCAGAACAATGCTTTCGTAATTCCATTCTACATACACGCCTGGAATTGCGGATCTAAGTGCGCTGAATTGAGCTGCCTAAGCCCTGTCTACGTGGCTTGTGGAGACAGAAAGCAAGAAGGACATGAATGCCCCTTGTCTCGGACGGGACTCTCAGATTTCCTTGAATTCTTGAAACTCCTGGCTTCTGGGGATTGGACCTTTTTAAAACAAATCTCAGAATGCAAAAAATTGGAAGCAAAGAAAGAGAAGCAAGAGAGAGAGAGAGAGAGAGAGAGAAAATGCTTGGATCTGGCATTGGGCCCTGTGTCAGGCCTGTTTCAGACCTGTTTCGGACCCCTGCAAAAGGACCATCTCATATTCGCAAAACCCCGCCCCGAATCCGTAGCACACACGCGTCAGCTCCTGCCAAGAACCTAAGGCGCCATGTCGGCGCAACACTGATGCCTCTAATTGCAGACCAACGCTTTCGTAATTCCATTGTCCATGTTACAGAAACGCCTGGCATTGCGGAGCTAAGTGCGCTGACTTGAGCTGCCTAAGCCCTGTCTACGTGGCTCGTGGAGAAAGAAAGCAGGAGGAGCTTATTTTTAAACCCACAGAATGAAAAGAATTGGAGGAGAAGAAAGAGACGCAAGAGAGAGAGAGGGAGAGAGAGAATGCTTGGATCTGGCATTGGGCCCTGTGTCAGACCTGTTTCAGACCTGTTTCAGACCCCTGCAAAAGGACCATCTCATATTCGCAAAACCCTGCCGCTGCCCGAATTCGCACGCGCTGGCCCTTGCCAAGCCACACAGGTCCAACCTAAGGCGCCATGTCGGTGCACCACTAACGCTTCTAATTGCAGACCAACGCTTTCGTAATTGCATGCAACATAAATGCCTGGAATTGCGGAGCTAAGTGCGCTGAATTGAGCTGCCTAAGCCTTGTCTACATGGCTCGTGCAGACAGAAAGCAAGAAGGACATGAATGCCCTTGTCTCGGACGGGACTCCCAGATTTCCTTCAATTCTTGAAACTCCTGGCGTCTGGGGATGGGGCCTGCTTTTTTTAACAAATCCGACCGGTTGCGGAAGATGTAATTGGCAACAAACAGCATGCAAATTGACAAGGCGGGCCGGGCCAGAGGCAGGCTTTCAAGACGTAACGCAAAATACCTATCTAAATCGGGTATTTAGGTTGGTCGGCCGGGCTGGCGGTAACGCTGGCGGAGGTAGTGTAAAATCTTTGTTGACCTATTTAAGTGTCCGGGTGTTTAAGTGGCGACACCGTAGGCTTAGCTTTAGTCTTCCATCCCAACTGGCGGATGTTTTCCATCCACAGCATGTTTCCCTTTGGGGTGGTTCTAAAGATATCTTTAGAATACCTTCTTGGGGAAGCTCGTCATGGCAAGCAACAAGTTTGTACTTTCCCTGGCCACGCTTGGGAAGACGAGGGAATGCCTTGGTTCATCTAGCTGTGGTTCGGTGCAGAACATGTGCGACCTTGTGTTTGGAAGGGACACCCGCGACCTTGAAAAAGGAGGCCTTTTGCTGAGCCTCCATTTGATACTGTGGATGGTTGCGAAATGCGCTTCGCAGAACCTCAGAAACCCTGGAATGAGTCGATCCTCAAACGTAAATAGCAACAAACAATGGTTTTTCCGCATGGCTTCAACGTGGTGCGAAATGGGTGTGGCTCAAAATTAAACAGAAGGGGTTACGCAGGTTTTGTTTCATGTTTCCACTTACCAGGGTTCCATTTTGGTACCGGTTTTTTGGGCCACAGCCAAATGTGTTTTTTTGGTCCATCTACATGAGGAAACTCAGGCAGCACCTGGACAAAGGTCCAGCAAGGCTCGAAAGGAGCCCTACGGAAGCCGAAGGTTGCCCTGCAGACCCCTTCTTGGGCGGGCGAAAATAAAGGGAGACCATCGCACACCAGAACATTTTGAGCCATTTCAATGGAATTCCATCCCATTTTGTGCCAGTTGTGCCATTTTGTGCCACTTTTGGAGAGCCATATTTCAGGATATGTTCGGAGAACCATATTTTTAGGGCGCCATGGCCCTTAAGGAAGCCAATGCATCGGCCAAATTTTCAGAACCCCCTTTCCGCCAGCCTTGGGCCTCAGGACAGGCACGACCACGCCTACGCGGAGAGGGCCATGGTGAAGTCTGCAGAGCGCGCGGAGACGACTCAGGTGCAGCTTCCATCTTCTAAGAGGGTTCTATCACTCGGGGCTTACTTTACAGAGTGAGACAAGGGAATCATTTGCCTGCCACCTGAAGCGAACAGGGTTGTATCGCTCGGGGGAACTAGGTCCAGTGTGATAAAAGGGAACCATGTTTCGTTTATGTGAGGCAAGTCTTGAAGCCCTTGGTGTTGTATTACAGAAGTGGTCATTAAATGGAGGCGTGGGATCTCTCAAAGCCGCGAACTTTGTGGTCCAACGCTGCGTCTTCTGGAACAGGGCGGCTTCAGTTTTAATAGAATGGTTCCGGTTAACTATTCCAGTTTTTAAAGCAAGCACTCCATTCCAGTTTCATGATTCCATTCCAGTTTTAATGGAATGTTTCCCTGTATGGGTTGTTCTACAGCTGCGGACATCATTCTCGGTATCTAGCTTGACACTGGGCTTTCGTCCGTCTACAGTATGTCCCAATGCTAGCCTTGGCAAGTCGATTCGCAGGTGCGAAAGGCGGTCAAGGACCTTGGCGATGTCCTCTACAAGAAGCAGCCTGGTGATGATTTCGACGTCGGGATCTGGATTCACATCGTCATTCTTGCCCAACCCCCGAACGGTGGACACTTGGGGGCTTTTCTGCAACCACCTTGCTTTGGGGTATTGGTTTCTTAGGGTTTGAGGTTTCACAATCGCCTCCACCGCTCCCCCCCCCCCCACCCAACACACAATCCGCAGTCAGATCTGACAGGTTTAAAGGTGGAAGACGGATCCGATTCGCATTTCAAGTGACTGTGCTGGGGTTGGCAAAGTCGAAAGGAAACATGCATCTCCCCCGCGCCCCTTTCAGGCGCCTTTTCTGGGACGGGAATCAGCGACTTATTTCTCTAAAGGGACTCTCTGGGACAACTTTGAGAGCTTTATTCGGGGACAGAACCCTGTGGCCGTTCTTTTCCGTTCGCGTTGAAGGCACAACTTCATCATCAGAATCTTGAAGGAGATGCAGCACATCACACATGAGGCCCGAAACTCGGTATTTTTGGCCTACATGATTCGGGGCTGTGGACTCGGGCGATGATGCCGATTTCGGATTCTGATTTCAGAATGGGTTTCTCTTGGGAATCCATTTCCCCACCAAGCGAAGCAGTTCCGTTGGGGGTGTCTTTTTTGAGGGTACCCAACAAGAACACCACCACATTAGGGGGTCCACGAGCCACCCATTTCTCGAAAAGGGAATGTCGAGAGGTCTTGATCCAGGCTCCCTTCGGTCCATTTTGAGAAACGTTTGGGTGGAGGATTGGATTGGCCACCTGGGCCCCAACTTGACCCGCTTGTCTTGCGTTGCAGCCAAAGATAAATTCTGAGAAAATCCAACTCCCCTTTTCAGTGAGAGAACCAGTGGGATGGGGATCCCACTTTGGTTATGATTTGACTGGGTGATTTCCATGTGAGCACTGACAAATGCTGCTGAGTCCGCCACCTGCTTGTTTTGTCTCTTCTTTTTGAGGGCACCCCTTTTGTTTGGTTTAAAAAGCAGACCAAAACGAAACAAACCCCTTTTTTGGGGTCCCCTCATTTTGAGAAAAACAAGAAAGCACATATTGTGGTGCCACAGGATGTGTTGCAAGGATTGACTGTGATGTTCGGACGGCTTCTGACTGGCCTTTGCGATATGAGCAACAGCCGACCTTTGCCCAGCCGAATGATGAATCACCAGTTTTTCCGAGGGGCGCATCCCTGCAACTTACTTACCCCAATCCAACCTGTGGACCTTTTAGTTGCTCGCTTTTTGTCAATTTTTAGTCATGGCCCCACAAGATTAACCTCTTTATTTCTGGGTCCTTTGGGCACAGGAAACGAGAAGGGCTCCCAGTTTTGACCATGGGTAAAAATGAGGACATGGCCCCAAACGAATTGAGGAGTCCCCTCAAAAGCTGGCACTTCCATGTGCCAGGATCATGTGAATGCTGAGCAGATCAAGCACGCCTTGGAGCAGGTTGGGCATACCTTCCACATTGAGGATGCGCCTTGGCCTCTGAAACCGTGGCCCTGCAGATTAATGTTTTCCCCATATTAACTAGGTCCCCCAGCTAGGTGCCCTTTTACCGTTTCTTTTCTGGGAGAGGGTTCCCCTACTCAAATAGACTACAGACGTTAAAGGGTAACCGTATTCTACCGTGGCCCTGCAGGGTTATTAAGGATCCTTACTACCAGGTGGATGACCATCCCCGCCAACCCCAAGTAAGGCGTCTTTTGTCCATGGCACATGTTTTCCCCATATTATCATCAAACCTAGTTTATTGAAATCGCTACGCGATCCGCCGACGCCAGTGGGGTGCAAGGGATTTTAAGACCTTTTTTATTTTTTGTGGAAGTCTGAAAGTGCCACAACAAGGCCTTCTTGGCACTTTCCTATTTTCAGTCAGGAAACATGTCCCAGATGCTGGGGATGCTGGAAATGCAAGGGATGCAACCACACAACGTACAGGAACAGACCCAATCTTCGCATCCAACATTTCAAGACTTTCAGACACGCAAAATTGACGTAACACAGAAATACCAGAGATGTCGGGAATGCTGGGAATGCAGCCGGCGGGCCACAAAAAAGTTCCAAAAACCAGGATTTGTTGATGTTTCCTAAAATCAACCATCAAAAGCAGATACTAGCAACCCCCTTCAAATACCCTAAACATAGACTTCCAAAACACGATAATGCAGGGGATGTTTTGCAGTAACTGCTCCGTACAGGTGGGGAATTGCAAGAAAAAACACGGTTTTGCAAATTCAAACAGTTCCTCAAACGTATCACTGCACTTGGCCCCACCCAGACCCCTAACAGGCCGATTCCAACATCGCGTGAAACAGCAAAACACAATTAGTATCTGCAAAAAAGAGACAAATTCATAGCAGCAAGGTAACCCTGATGATGCTGGGGATGCAGATCCTGCGCGTCCGGGGGAAAGCCCCTTTCTAGAGACCTAGGCGAAACGCAGGGTTTCCATGAACAAAAAATGGCAGCCCCAAAAGCCTTCGGCTTTGATAAGGAAGACCAAGTTGCGGACTGCCATCTACACGCTCGACTGGCGTCGCCGGATTGATAGGGCGGTCGAGGCCCCTCCAAAAGTGGTCTGATTCCCCACCAAACCCAGAGACACCAATAACAGGGATGATTCATTGGGGCCAACGTGAGACGGAATCTATAACGAGCAGCACTCACCCGGGCATGTGTCCGAATCAGGGTTGTGGGATCACTCGGGGTTTATCCCCACTGTCATACAAAGGAATCAATCCCCTCTTTATATGGCGGGAAGGTCTTTAGAGGGCTTTGTTGTTGTCTGGATTCCATTTCCCACGGCCCTGGTCAGAATACATGGATCCCGAACATCGTGTTTTACGTTTCTTTTCGCACCGCAAAAGGTTAGATCCTTGACGAAGCACATTTTGGGGTTCGATCCGTTTGGACAAGCTACGCCACAGCCACTCCAGGAGTAGGCTAGGTGGTCCCCATTTCGCCTCGAGTTACCCTAATCAACCATTGACATTGAAACTAGGGTGATAAACAAATCAACCTAACATTTGGGGTGTCAAAGCAAAGGGGGCCCACAAAATGCTTATCTTCCTCTTGGGTTTCCCCTTAAAACAAAGCCCTACACAATGTGTCCTCTTGGTTGCTCCCCCCCAAAAAACACACACGCACACATGTTCCGTTGCTTCCTTTAACAAAGACAAAAACCGCCAAGGTGAAAAAAAGGGGTCGCATCCTCTTCGGCGGCGACAGGTGCAGCGTGCCATCCTCTACCTCCAGCCGGACGCGGACCTGGCGGCTGTGGACTACCGAAAGCTCTTCCAAGATGCCGGGGCCAAAGGGTCCTGCGCGCGGATGAGGTGGAGCTGCTCCAGCCCAAAAAGACATCTGTGGATGGACCAATTCTTGGGGGGAGGGGAGGGGGGTCATGTCAAACATGTGTGAATTCCTGGCTGCTTCTTTTTTTGTTGAGGGGGGGGGTGGGGGTGGGGCGGGGGGTCATGTCCATCCACAGAAGATTCTCCCTGACAGGTGCCGAATGTTTAACCCATGGCCACTGGAGAGCTGGGAGAGGTTCTTCAACATACTTATGGACGAAACCCGTAAACCGCGCCACGAAATGAGTCGCCATGGTTGAAACCGTTGTTTGTCAGTATTTGCAAGGGAAGAGACTAAGAGAGGAATCATAAATTTCGGGGTTTCTTAGGCGGCGCAGGATTTCGCGGGTCCACAGCTTGTTCCTCCTTTTGGTGGTTTTCAGCATCGCCTTTCGGGCCAAGTTACAGGTACTGTCCTTTTGGGGGGATATGTTTGAAGTGGAAAGACAGGGAGCAAAGGGGGGGGGTGAAGCAGTTCCCCACGTTGGGCCCCTTTTCAAGGTGCCCTTTGATTGATATGGGCTGCAACAGATCCAGGTTGGGCACATTTGTCAGAGGCCGATCTTCCCCTATGCTTTGAGTCATGTTATTGGTTGCCAATTCAGACATGGTTTCCATCCTTCTTTGGGGTCTCCTCCATGTTTTTTTTTTTTTTTGGGACTACATACGACACAGAATCAGAAATGATGCTTTTCAGTGTACCGCAGATGTGGGCCAAGAAAGAGGTTTAAGGGGGGGAACATTTTCCACGTGCAGAGACACCATCGAGGTGGTTACGAGCTACCATGACGTGAGCGCATCCCGCTGAGCGCAGCCTGGGCGGGAACCTCGACGGATTTTGAGGTGACCCAAACTTGTTTGTCCCCTTGTATGCTCTGGTTTGTTGCTTGTTCCTTCTGGTTTTGCCTTCTGGGCGTGTCTTGTTTTAGGGGATTTCCCCCGCAAACAGTACACATATGGTGGCTTTCCTTGTGATTGTCCTGTCGACACCGTGAAGGGTACCCGCAGAAGACACACTCTTTGGTGGCATGCTTGAAACCATAAGGTTTACTGGTATTTCCCGAGCAATCGATTCATTGCAAGGTTTCTGAGGCCCATGAAGAATGATCAGAGAAACGAGGGGCTGCGATACGTTAGAAAGTACGCTGGGATGATTGGTCTTGCTGAATGTTCCCTTTTTCTAGGGGTTGATTCCCCAGTCTTTTAAGCCATCGTTCTTTTCAAAAACTGGTTATGTCCCCAGGGTTTTTGGTGGTTTTCTAGAACGAAGGATCCCGGGGAAGAATGGAAATGGAAGTCACCCCTAGACCTTTCACAAGCAAGCAATTCAGCTGTGCGTAGTCAAAGTCTGGCCAAGCGATCACTTCACTGAGGTGTGCGGCTTGTAGCGCGGGTGAGCCTGTGAGATCACAGCTGAGCCCCGCGAAAAGTTTTCACCTGTGCTGAGAGAATGGGCCACAGGCATGGCCAACTTGGGTTCACTTGTGCCTTCCTGTTTCTTGAGCAGGGCTCCTTAGAAGATACATTTTGCCCAATTGAAACATGACTTTCTCCACCAAAATAAAGGGACACCACCATTTACAAGGCAATGTTCAGGTTTATAATGTAAGGATCCCTGTTGAGCTAGCTTCCATAGCATGCTGGCATGAAATCAAGTGTGGGACCCCTCGATGGACATTATGTACATGGGGTTATGTCCGCCAAGCATATTTGAAGAGGTGGTTCATTTTAACTGCATAGCTACATGAGTGTGTATCACAAGGATGCCTTGGAAACTTTCTAGAAGCAAGCCAAGAAGGACACCAACTTGGGAGTGGTTTGACACGCACATGGTTCGCTCTTCCCAACATTGGGCGGAGCCTTTTTCGCAGCAAAGTCCCACCCAACCCCTGGGTTTTGACCCGGATCGAGTGGAGTCTGGTGCACCCCAGAGGTGCTGCGAAATGCAGCAGCCGAGTCGCTAGGCCCAAACGGCGCCTGAGCAAGCGGCGTCTCTTAGCGAAGTCTCACCCTGCTGAGTTGTTGAGAGCAGTGGCTACATTCAAAGACTGACTGTTCCATGATGGTAGAAGCCAAGCACCACAACATGACAACATGACAACATGACCATTCTCCCACGAGTTGCGAGACGATGGTCTTGCAGCCGTGCAACGTACAACGCAATATCCCAGTGCAAGTCGAAACAGCTGCGCTATTGGCAGAAGAAAGTCTCCGGAGCGCCCGCACCTTGATTCAAAGATGAAATCGGATCTCAGCCCCCAGTTCTATCAGTTCTACCCTAAGAATCCCTTCTAAGGCTCCTGCCGAACCTTTCCTGGGCCGGTGGCTTTTGTGTTAATCCTTAATCCTTACCTTTGGCTACGCAAGGGGCTCATGGATGAGGATTGGCCAACCCTCCGTTCTGAACAGTCCAGAAACGGGTACCCTGAAATTGGTCTGGGTCAAAATCAGGCCACCAAGGGGACCGCAGGTTTTGGTTCTTGTTTCAATTTGCCAGGGCAAGCCATTTTGGGTACCTGTTTTTGACCCACGCCCAAACGACGGCCAGCCACTTCTCAGGTGGACGAAGCGCCGGGCTGGCTGCGGTGTGTGGACGACGAAGGCAAGGAGTTCTTCTACAACGAGGCGACCGAAGACGTGGGCCGCCTCTGCCCCCAGTTCGGTCAGGGGTCCCCATATTTCCTCCAACGGCGCCCCACCAGAAGGAAACTCACCCCAAACCGGCCCAAAGGGTGATGTTTAAACCGACCGAAAGAGGAAAAAAGGGGAACCCTGTTTGGGCAACAAAACGGCCCGCCGAAAGAATGCTTCTCAGAACCCTATTGTGGGTGGACGAAATCCATTACGCACCTCATGAGATAAACCACCCACCAGCTGGTGCGGGGGTTTTGTCCATCCACAGGAAGGCTCGAAGCATTTTTGTGGGCGGGCCTTTGGCTTCCTTTGGATTCGAGCCATGCCCTGAGCATCACTTGAACACCGAGGGAGAAGTGCCGCTTGCGGAACAGTGGGAGAAGAGCATATATAATATGCAATCAGACCTGAGACACGTGGCTGTGTGTGTGTGTGTTTGTTAAAATCGAGGCCCCCCCCCGAAGAAAAATAAAAGAGGCAGGTGTCCCTTCGGTTTCCCTCTAAACCAACCCGAAGGGTGTCCTCAAGAACACACGCCTTGGTTTTGATCTTAATCTTCCCTCGCGCAGGAGACTCAGGAAACCGCCTGGGAGCTACCCGTGTGACGCGCCAAAAGCCGAGAGCGAACTTCAGGGAGGGACGGGTTGACTCCAAATCGCCTCAGGGTCTATCCCAAGTGGTGCAAGATTTCGTCCAAAGGGTTTATGGTGAATGGCAACCCAAGCTTTCTGAATCAAGACGGGTTTGTGAAACGTGCTATTGTCAAAAGACCTGCTTGTTACGTTGGGCGTCCCTCACCCCTAAACCAATCTTCAGCAGGGGTGTCCCAGTAAGCCACATGAGGCACATGAGTGTGCGTTGCACCATCATGTGTGTCCTGTCCAACCCAATCATTTGACCACCATAATTGCTCTTGGCCAACACCATGATCAGTTTATCAAAGGCCTAGCAAGGCGACTTTATAAGGTTGGCACATTGCAGCAACATCAAGCGGGTTGCCGAACTTGTTTCGCTTGAACAGCAGTAAGTGTGCCAGGAAAGCGAGCTAATGTTCGAGATCGGCTGCATTTTGTGCAGGCAGTGCTTGCGACACTTGCCTGAAGGATACTGCTCAGTGCCAGTCATTGTGCCTTGAATTTCTGGCGTTGGAAGCAGAAGAGTAGGGTTGCAGCATCATGTGACGCGATGTTCCGCAAGTGTTCACAGTGTGTTCATCTACCTGCAGTGCTTAAGGAGTTCACAGTTCAGCCCATAGCAATGTGGACTGCATGTGAACGCTTGCGCGCTTGCACTCATAGGGCATGTCAAATATCGATGCCTTCCGCCTCCCATCGGACTCGAGCAAGGAGGGCTGAAGAATGGAGGCATCGTTGCCCCGTCATCTGGCTCTGAGGAGAGTTTCACCCATCGGGGGCACAAGAGCTCAAAGCTGAACACCCCAAAATGAGGGCAGGTCGCCCTGAAGCGGTTTCCTTCAAATCTCGGAGTCTCCATGCCTTTCAGAGGTCACTGAGTTGTGGTTTCTCTCGACAAAGTTCCGAGTCGCTGTTATGCCCCATGGCGCCGTCGGAATTGTCCTCAGGAGGTGGGGTGCTGAAGGGTCAAAAAAAAACGCGTGCCCAAAGCCGGCAGAATTTGGCTCCCCCAGAGTCCTCCCGCAACCTCTGCCCTGGGTTCTCCACACTACCAGGTCCCCCAGTAGTGCCCTTTTACTCTTTTTTGGGGGAGGGCTCCCCTACTAAAATAGTATTTGACTACAGAAAAAAAAGGTACCCTTATTCCAACCTCTCTACTGGAGGACCTAGTCTAAGATCACCGTGGATGGACAACATCATTCTCGCACCACCTAAGAAACACTGGAATGATGACTCTCCTGTAAGTAGCAACAAACAATGATCTCCCACAGTTTCAAAGCGGTGCAATATTTCATACATCCATAATAAGACCCTAACCTGTGGCCTGATGATATTCGGAGGAAATTGGGGGAGGCGAAGTTAGGGCAATGCTGTGAACTTCGGCAATGGGTTGTAGGGACACGGCTGGGCTCGCGCAAGCCTTTCAACAGCTCCAGAGGGAGAATGCACTACTCAACAGATGGGAAGCCTGTTTCGGTATCACACCAAGAGCTATTCAGTAGCTGTGGTTCTAGCCCATTTTTGGTGCATTTTGCTTGGATGTTAGGACTCTACCTTTGTGCCAACTCATGGGTTTTCCGTATTAAGCCACTAAAAGTTTAAAAAAAAGAGGAAAGAACCACTTTTAGCACGGGAGCGGATTTTGCACCCGAGCGCCATGGCTTAGGGGTGAGGGCCCACGTCCACCATGGAATCTTCCCGGGCAGAGCGCCATGAACTCCAACCGCTTCCGAGCCATTCCGAGCCATGGACCGTTCAAAGGGGGGGGGATGGAGTTGGACCAAGGAAGCGCACCCTTAGGCCCTGCCAAAGAGGCTTCTTCTTCAAAGGATGCCGGAAACAAAAAGAAGCACACACCCCTACTGGATCTTGGGGGAGCCCTGGATCTTGGCCAGGGATGAATAGTCCCCCATAAACAGCGAAAACGGGCGGTTTGCCGCAAGCCGCGCCGTTTTCGGCGCCACCGAAACTGGGCGCAAGCGCGCGCAAGCAGAAGTGAGGCACGCGGGTCCTGGAGCTGGGGTTCAACCACTTGGATGACAAGACGCGCGGCGCCCTGGAGGCGCGAGGCCCTTCGGCCCTGGAGGAGCTGCCGGGGGGATTCCGGCTCGAGGGATGACAATTTTTAGATGGGTGGGTGCGAAATCCGCAGTGAAACCGTGGTTGAAACCATAACGTTTGTTGGTATTTGCAGGGGAATCGAATCATTGCAGGGATCCTCAGGTGGTAAAGGTTTCTGTTTGTACAGAGACAGTATGGATGGGTGTTTCAAGCCTTATGGGTAAATGGGCCCCCACCTGGTGTAAGATGTTCAAAGGGAACTACTCAGCGCAATGCCGCCTTCAAAGCAGTTTGGGACGTTTATCAGCTGCAACTTGGACGTTCCCCTAGGATAGCGGAAACCACTTGAGCTCAGGCCTCAGCCTCAGAGCTGGGCCTTTTTTGAGCTTTGGCGCATTTTGCCAAGGGATGTTGGGACTTGAGAACTGTTTGCCAACTCATGGGTTTTCCGTATTAAACCACAAAAGCTAAAAAGTTGGCAGGGGAGCAGAAAGCAACCGAGTTTAGCAGAGGTTTGCTCTGCTTCTTTGCTGTACTGAGACAACTCCACCCAGCCTGCTGCCTTGCAAGGTGTCCTCTCCCCGCAGCAGCTTGGGGCAAGGGATAAGGATTGCCGGCATACAGCAAGTAGTACAAGCGCAGTCGACTGTACATAGGTGTATGATATGTGCATATACAGAGATGTGTGTAAAGAGAGACATATCTTATTGGTCCATTCATGTTCACATCTCCACCGGTCTATTGTCAGAGCATGTCCACTCCAAGCCCTCAGACACATTCATGTATGCATACAGAAATATGTGTATATATATACATAATTATATAAATGTTACATGCCTCCATATATATATATATAGGGACACATATTATATATATACACATGTTCTTGTATTCCCTTACATATTATTGTTGGTATCTACCTCTGATCTTTGCTTGATTATGTCCCCGTGTTTGGCCGGTGTTGTTTTGGCTTGTTGGCTTGTGCGTTAGCGGCTTGCTGTTGGGGGTCTCAAAGATGGAGGCCTTTGAGAAGGCCATCCGCCCCGTGGGCCTGGCCGCCAGCGCCGGTGACAGCCGGGGCGCCGAGGGGCGCCGGGCGCGCCCGGGGGCTGCGACCGGGTAGCTTGAGGGGGAGCCGCCCGGGGTTCGGGGTTTGACCGGAAAAAATCCGGCGTTTTTGTGTGTGTGTGTGTGTTTTTTTTTGGGGGGGGGTGCGCTTAAAAAAGACACCCTACTGGGCCCCAGCAGGGTAGATTTTGGAGCCATCCACAGTTGCGGGGTGTCGAGAACTCAATCGCCAATCCCGGCGAGCGATCAAATGTTCCTGTTGGCCCTTTCAAGCAGCATGGGAAGTACCCGACCGTTTTCTGGGGGGTATCAAAGTCAGACGCTGGCTGGTTTCCTTGAACCACTGGGGTGACTTTTGAAGTTAAGTAGTGAGGCCAGCCTTTGCTCGGCTGAAAGGTTTGGGGTCTCAGACGGCCTGCAGTGGGCCGCCAGGGCCGGGTTCCTTAGCAGGATTTCGTCCATCCCCAGTATGGCTTCTCAAGCTTCGGTTGGTTCCCGTTTGGGGGTTCCGTTTTTCAACGATCCGGAAAAAGGGACCATTGGTGAGGTAACCCTTAGTTGGTGGTTTGGATGGGTGGTTTGCCAATTTGAATCCTGGTTCTTGGGTGTAATGGGAAACCACTCCCTGACCACCAGACGACCGAGCTCCAAATTACCCCTTTCTGAGCGAAGCTGATTTGGGTGTGGCTCAAAATTCAACAGCTGGGGTTACGCAGGTCGTCGACTTCTCCAAGGGTTCCTTCCATTCGGACCCCCCAAAATTTTGAGCTCCACACCCATTTGGGCTTGTCTTAAAGTAAGGACCCCTGAAGATTGGTGGGGTTCCTTTGACCTTCCCTTTTTTAACGCCATTTCGAAGAGGGTAGCCTCGAAAATGACTCTGACTGGATCTTCAACTCCGTTCCGTCCACAGGCGGGGAGAAGGTCCGGGCCAGAGCCAAAGAGCTCTTGGACAAAGACTGCCGAGCCGGGGGCCCCGAAACCAAACCTCCCGCGCTGCCGGGCGCTGCCCCCCGCTCAGGTGGTCTTTTTTGGGGCGCGTGGGGGCCTTGTGGCGGGAAAGAAAGGCGACACCCACCGGGGGCCTCAACCGTTTGAAATCTATTTTTTTGTGTTTCTTTTGTTGAAGGCGCAGGGCAAGTAGATGTTGTTGGTTGGTTTTATACGGAAAGCAGAAGGAAAGCCCTAAAGCAAGACACACCCATTTGCAGCGGTTCTTCAGTGGATCCAAATCCGTTTCATTCTGATCGGGTTCGGGGCCCACAAGAATGGCCCTGGCATGTATTTGTTTTTTCTCCAAAAGGGTCACTGGGCAAAGGGATTGGATTGGGGATGTGAACAACTTGGTTGCAAGTTGGTGACAAGCCTCAACCTCCAACCCACCAATCATGTCCAAACAAGATCCATATTCATCTCATATAGGTCGGGGGATCAAATATTTGTTTAGTGTTTCACTGGAATGATACGGAAGTTGCCCCAATGGCCCTTTGGGCATCACTTTCGATAGCACACATGGCCGCATCTTATTGGACAATTGTGTTGTGCCCAGCAGCCTTGTTTTGGCTACCAACCATTTGCGCAGTGATTTGTTCGCCTACAGCACTCCCGGGGAAAAAACACAACGTTTGTTGTTGAAGGGTAATCGAATCAAGTCCTTGACCAGACACCCAAACATAATGATTGTCTTTTGCCCCAGAACTGGCCAAGTTGCTTTTGATGTAACGCCATAGAGTGCTGGCGATTGATCTTTTCTCTTTGGTCCCCTTTTGGTTTCCCTTTACAAACACCCTCAAAAGGCGACACACCCAATTTGTCTTTGGAGGATTACCTTACACTAGCCCCAATTTCAGACTCCTGTTTGAACTACGGATGTGTGTCTGTGTGTTTCCTTGAGGGTACCCTTTCACTTTGAAAGGAAAGCCTACAGGAGAACCGGCAGCAACAAAACGCGTCCAAATCCCTACCCATATGCATTGGATGTATCCGACCAGAACCCTGCTTCAATCAGTCCCCAGATCTCCTGTGCCCTTCTCTTCTTTTTCTTGGAGGGTTCCCTGTAAAATCAACGAAGCAAGCAACACTCTGTGCCCCTTTTCCCATGGACATCCACCAAATTCCACCCCTCGACAGCCACGGGAGCCACGGGAGCCTCGACTCAGGGCCTGGTGAGTGCGGGCGAAGCGCTGCTCAACTCCGTGGGGAAGGTGGGAGAGTGCCCAATGATGGCCGGGAGCCGAGCTGATCGGACGTGCTGGCCGGTTGACAATTGGCGATGTGCCACGGGCATAGCCGGAGCGTTGGGAGTTATTCTTGCTATTTTTTTGGCACGGTATGTGTGCGTTTGTGTTTTGTGTTGATGTGTTGGTTGGTATGTTGTTCAAAAAAATGGCAGATCCTGGGATGTGTGTATTTTTATTGCTGTTGTGGTTCTCATTGTATGGTGTTTTTTGTTTGATGCCTTGGCGTGAGTGTTGTTTGGGGTTGATTATTATTGTGCGTAGCTTGTTGACAGGGCCTGACAATTAAGGTTGATACTGACAAAGTAAATGATTATTGTGAAGATGACGATGATGGTGGTGACGACGAAGATGGGGATGAGGAAGATTGTGATCGTTATTATTATTATTATTATTATCATATTATTATGTAAATTATCATTATTGTTATGTGTTTTGTATGTGTATTATTCATTATTGATTCGTTACTATTCATTATTGACAATCATATTGGCATGATTATTAGTGGTATTACTTATTATTAGTATTGTTATTATTCAATGAGTATTATTATTATTATTGTTTTTATTCAATGAGTATTATTATTATTATTAGAATTACTAGATTTATTTTTAATGATAATAAGATTATTAACCGGTGGTGGTGGCGGCCGTGGTCGTGGTCGTGGTCGTGGTCGTGGTCGTGATGGTGGTGTTGGTGGTGTTGTTGGTGGTGGTGGTGGTGGTGTGTGGTGGTCATTGCTGGTGATGTTGGTGGTGTGCATGGTGATGTTGGTGGTTGGGTGGTGATGGTGGTGGCGATGAGCAATACTAATGGGAAGGCCGGGGTAAGGAGGGCCGTGTTGCTGATGCTCCCTTGCCACAAAAGAATGTGGCCTTCAACTCCAGCCACCCTGCAACCCGTCAGTGACATGCGAACAGCCACTGGCGACTGAGCATTGCTGTGCGACCGCAGCCAGGTGCTAAAGAAACCGGTTTCATATGCAGCAAATATTTATCTAAACGTGTTGTACTAAATCTTTGCGGCCATTGGTAGAAGCAAAGATCAGGTTCTGGGTTTGCCTAGGTGCTTGTGCAGAAGCTGCCTCGGCTGCTGGCTCGGCAGGCAAGGGTCCGTCATGCCTGACCACTTTGGTCAAGGTTCTTGGGGGTTCCGTAGGAAGAAACGACTAGTGGGTGTGCAGACAGTTTGTAGGTGGTATGTGGTAAGTAGGTGGTTCGTGTGGTCAGGTGAGTGTCAAGTAGGTTGTTCAACTTGGTGGCTTCCAGCCATCCCCTTAGCTTTTTAGCTTTTTGGTGTTTAGTGGGGTTTGCCATTTTGCCCACTAAAAGTTAAACTTGCAGCGGGGGATCTGAGGACAGCTCAGTCAAGAGTCCTTAATCATTTTACCAACTGGGTATGGGTCAAAATTACACCTCCAGGGGACCGCAGGTTTTGGTCCATGTTTCCATTTACCAGGATTCCATTTTGGGTACATTTATGTTTGACCCACAGCCAAATGGTAGCAAGCTTCCCGCTGTGAGTGGCGTCTCACAGCGGAACTCGGATTGGGACGCTCGGGCCCGAGGTTTTGGGCACCTGCCGCCGCAGCTGTACGGGTCCAAACCAGCCCTAGAGATGCGCAAGACCCTAAGCCGCATGCCTCAGTGGCAGTCGCGCATGGCAAAACCCAAGTCTGAAACCAGCCGAACCCCGCCAGCTCATCCAAAAGTCGGTTTGCTTTGCCGCCGATCAACACCATTCAGCGAGCGGGGCTGAGTGGCTCGCTCCAGAGAGGCGCATCGTGCAGGCATCGACGTCTGGGGCAACGGTTGGCGTTCATACCTAGGTAGTGCCCTTTTACCCTTCTTTGGGGGAGGGTTCCCCTACTAAAATAGACTACAGAAAGAAGGGGTACCCTTATTCTAACCTCTCTAATTACTGGAGGACCTAGATACTGTGGATGGACCAAATCCCGGATCGCAGCCGATGGATGGGATAAGCCACCCAGGATTTGGTCCATCCACAGTATGACTTCCGGGAGGGTGCAGTAATATATAGGCCAAATAACTACAAACCGTATTTTCTTTCATTATGACTTCGGGAGCAGTACTATAGGCCAAAGCTTTCATGACTGCATTTTCGATCCCCAACCCGTCCCAACTTATTTGGGGGGTGGGGGTGGGGGGGGGGTCGATCCTGACGTGACTTTCATGAGGCGTGCCCCAAGTCACCAGCTTGGGTACCCGTTCTGCGACTCACTCAAGATGACTCGCTTCCGTTTGGACGTTCCCGGACTTTCAGCTTTTTGGGGAGACCTTTCCAGTGGTGCGCAACAAGTTGTTGTTGTTTTGCCAATCCACTCAGGAAGTGAGATGAAGCATATGGAACAATCCCAGACACGAGTTGCTGAGATCTGCCCTTGAGAATCTCAAGTGTTGCCGTGTACAATGTACATGTTTTTATGGTGAGATGTTGTCAAGGGGGGATTTTTTTGGGTTTCACCGGAAGAGTCAACGTAGACTAATCCCAGATCTCAGATATCCAAATCATCACCGTTGCTACAACTTACTCAAGCGGCTTGATCATGCTACATGTGAGTCGAATCAAAACCTGCAAGGAGCCTACCCAAAGTCCATGGCAAAGAACAAAAGGCGGACATCCACACCTATTTCTGCTCGGGTGGGCAACAAGCTGACATATATACCTCTAGAAACCGTGGACTCCACCCGTTCTTTGGCGTTCCCAGCCTCATATCCACAAAGACTTTTAGAGTGGGCGTTTGTGTCATACTCCGCTGACATGCTGTTTTTGTTTTGTTTTGCAATCAACCAACCAGGTATTTCGATCTACCAAGTAGATCATAGGGTTTGGTGTCCTTGGGTTCTTTCAACATCGCCGCAGAACACATATATCCTTCTAGCCTTGTCCCGGCTTGGTCTGTGGCCATGTATGCTTTCCGAATCAGTAAGGTTCCAATCGTATGTGTCTTAAAATAGGGGACCACCCAAATATTGATGATTTTCCTTTTGATATCCGTGTTAACCAACCCAACAAATAATTCTGTGTCCGCAATTATCCGTTTTCGATCCGGCAGGATGATGGTCTCAGAGGAAGAGCAAGCGCCCAGCTCCGCGCCGCGCTTGTGCGGAGCTGAGGTGCTCCGACGTGGGAGCGTCCCTGTGCGCCTGCCTGCCTGCGTGCGCGTGGGCGTGCGTGTCGGATGTGTGTGCGCGTGTACAACCCTTCTGGACTTGGGATTCGCGCACCCAGGAGTGGTGAGAGAGTTTATGGGAAGAGTGGAGAACAAGTATGCAGCCCGGGAAGAGCACATGACACCTATCATCCATTTGCTTAAGAATATGTTTGATTCTCCCCCGGTTTTAAATGGAATCGATTTGACTACTGGACATATGTTGATTTTATCCAGGGGGCTTAAGCAACCATGACGCCTATGTTTGCCTAAAGCCGCGAAGTTGCGATGGTTTCGCTGAGGAGTCGCTACAACCTGGACCACCGGGCCCTACTCTTTGGGCATCTCGGCGATTGGTTTGAAGTACCTCTGCCAGGGGCAACGAAGCCTCTCTTTCACCTTCCACCTTTTGCCCGTTGGGGTTTCCTGCATTTTCCGTGTCTCCGGTTGGTTTGTTGCAGGGGGGGTCAAGTCTGGCCAAGATCGCCGACTTTTGACGGGTTTTGGATTGCTGCTGTGCTGTTGTGGATTGTTGGGGAAGCCCGCTGTAATGTCCATGATTGTTGGAAAGAGGGTACCCTTCCCTCCCCCCAACATGGTCGTGTGGCTTCCTGGTGTCCTGGTTTCCTTTTTGGTTTGAAGGTACTCCCATGATTCCCGAATCATTACAAGTAATTCGGAGCCACGCAGGACACACTTTTTTGTGAGGGGCGCCTCCCAAATTTGTGGTTTTCCTGTTGGCTTCCTTTAGAGCCACAGGTACCTCGAAAACAAATGTTTCCCATGCTTTGTGGTTAGTTGGCTTGCTGCATGTTTAGTGGAATTCATCGTACTGTCCACCCTGGCGGGTGCCCTGAAAACACATATCCGAAAAGGGGTAACTTATTGTTTGGTGGGTTCCCCACAAAACACATCCAAAAGGATGTCCTTTACCGGCTGGGCAACAGAACCTGATGTTAGGGATACCGCGTTCCCAAGGTCACGCTTCGGGCGCGGCAACATGGTGAACCAGAAGGGCCAGGCTCGAATGCAACGCACCTCTGATGTTTGCGGGTTTGTTGGGGAACCCTCCTCAACTCACTCCCTGAGTTCATGGACTTTCAACTTTTTGGGAAGACAATTTAAGTGGTAAACAACAAGCTGTTCTTTGCCCATCTACTCAGGATGTCAAATAAAGGGTGGTTTTGCCAGTTTTCTTTTTCAACAACCACGCAACAGGTACCAAGAAAAGACAGCCCATGGTCTTTTACGAAGGAACCCTTGGTTTGACAGTGTGTCGGTAAGCTTGCCAACAAAAACAGGCGGTTATCTCAATTTGAGGATTTTCAGCCAGCAAAGTACGTGCTTTCCTTTGATTGTCTTGGGAATCCACCTGTTGGGAAAAAGGAGGTGTTTCCCGTATGGCGCATAGTTCAATAGTTGTAAACCACGCCGGTCCCCTCCTGGGTGTGAGTATATGCTAGTAGCAGGAGGGATCGGCGGATTTTCCTTTTTTTAACGCCAGAAAGACAATCAAAAAGGACAGCCGAATGAACCCCTGCAAACCGCCCCTCAGAAACAGGCCTGGTCTTTGGAGGCTTTTTGAAAGGATCCCTGGGACAAAAAAGGGGAAGTGACCCTCGACTTGTGCCAGCGACGAATGATAGCGACTAATTATGAGGGACGCGAGCTTCCGGAAGGGGCCGAAGTCGATTCCTCTTCCATGCGAAATGATCCAGTTCGCATGTTGCCCTGCGCTTCCTCGTTCAGTTGGAAATCTCACCTTTCTGTACCTTCTGCTGGGGTAGACATCAGGATACATGTTGCATTTGACCAGTCACTCAAAGCGAAGCAAACAATAAACATTACATTCTATACCTGCATGGGCCCAACCGAGTTTCTTTGGGCAAGGGGAAACACCGGGAAGGGCAGGAACGCCATTTTTTTTGTTGAAGTGATCCATTTGTTGTGCCAACCGCGAATTTGCTGTGAAATAAATGACACGATCTGCTTTGCGGCATGCCGTCTGATTCGTATGGTCCGAAGTCTGACCTTCACGTTTCTAGCTGTACTTTCCCCATGCTTTCCAAGCGTCCTTTTCAAAGCGTGGCTGAAAGTCGCTTGAACTTTGCAGCTGGCACGTCAAAAGGGCGAGTGCAAAGAACGGGGGATCAAGCTTTCGAAGATTGCGATGCAGGCCGCTGCGAATCTCTATGCTGCAGCAGAGCAGGACGCGCTAGAGGAGCACAATGAAGACCGGGCCTCAGCTTCGGAACTTGGTCACTCCTCTGCAAATCGACTTTGAACCCAAGGCATCGGTGTTGAGGAGTATGCTTTTTGGGGATTCCCTCTTTTGGATTCCATTTTGATTTGGAGGGGATTGTTTATCTCACAAATTGTCAAGAGGGAACCTTGCCTGATTGGTATGATGCTGCGGAGTAGTCCAACATTGACATTGCGGATCCTTTTGTTTGCTGCAAGGAAATCCTTGCGACTTGATCGGGTTCTGCAAGGGTTCCCTTTGCAGTGGTTTCCATAGTCTCGCTGGAGATGGATTAGGATTGGCCCAGTTTGCAAAGTGTTCTTGTCCTCAACCCGGTTCCTCCTTCCTTTTTTTGGGCTGGGTATGGTATAGACATGGTTCCTCCTTCCTTTTTTGGTTTTGTTTTGTTTGTTTTTTTTTGGGGGGGGTGTATGTATGGTTCGACATGGTTCCTCCTCCTTTTTTGGTTGGGTGTGCGGTACAGGCAGTCAGCCGCTCCCTTGGGCGCCGCTGGTCGTGCCGCTTCGCGTGATCCGAGGAGGTGACGGCACAGCTGGCCAGCCGGGTGGAGGAGCTTCGGGACATCAGCCTCAGCTTGGAGCCCCGAGGGCTGGAGGGTCGTGGGATCCATCCATCGCTCGATCGCTCGGGCGCTGGTGCTCGATGGATACCACTTCTGTGAAAGGCTTTTGGGGATCTCCCAGGTGAAAAATGTGCGGGGGGGGGGGGGGAGTTTTGGGAAAAAGCCGCTCCAGGGCGGGAGACACAGGAGAGAAACACCTGGGTGAGGGGGGGGGGAATGCGGGGGAAAATCCAGTCACGAGAAAGCCTGGCGTCACTGTCCGTGTGGGTGTCGTGAGTTCGTGTGGGCAAAGAACCACTGGGCTTTTTGGGGCTGAACAAGCTCCGGCAGCTTCTTGGCCCCACGCCCCTTTCAGCAGAGATGTGAGATGATGTGAGTTGGACAACAAAACGGAGAATCCCGGTCCAGCTGGAAGTTCGCATAATCTTGCAAACATCGGCATCGAGGGCAGTTGGCAACTTAAATCAACAACTGCAACACACCCGGAATATCTAAAAGTTGGGTCCCGGTCTCGAGCGGCATTTTGAGCGGCGCGCATCTCAGGCATTGCAGAGGAGACCAAGGAGTCGGTGAAGCACGTGGAGGATATGGACGGGCCGCTCGTCGGCAGTGGCCTGGGCGTTCCTTTTGGAGGGACCTGGAGGCCAGGCGAAGAGCCCTGGCTCGGTAGACACAAAACCAGGCATGCAAAAGGCTTGTTGGCCAAAAGAACGGGTAAAGGCAAACAAAAAACGTTAAGGGGGGGGTGGTGTGCTTGGGGGGACTGGAAAAGACAAACAACGTTTGGGGTGTGTGTGTGTGTGCTTGGGGTGGTAGGATTTTTGCAGTTGGCACAACAAAAAGTCGGCTCAGGTACTTCGATCGTGCGAGGAGTCTGCTGTCCAACACCCAGCTCCGCCTGCGCGGAGTGGCCGAGAAATCTGGCAGTCGGCACATGTGCGGGACAGCCGGCCTGGGCTCGGCCGCAAAGTCAACTGGGTATGGGTCAAAATAGACCCAGGAATTGGACCGCAGGTTTTAGTCTTTGGCTCCATTTATCAGGGTTCCATTTTGGGTTCGCATTTTTGACCCACGGCCAATTGAGTCACAATCAAAACGCGGGTAGATGAAGGTTAGTAAGGGATGATTCCAACCATAAATAGCTGCGGATATCCGCCTTCTTAAGTCTTTACATGGTTCTGGGTGAACCATTTTGTACCGGGTTTTGATTATGACTCAATTAGTGTCCCCTTTTTGCGGGGTGAAGGCTTGCGCGGGGCAGCATCTTGACCCAACCTAATCTTTCAGAAGCAAGCCCGGCATGTATTCGGCTTCTCTGTGCATCTCAAGTTTTGGCAAACCTTCTAAACAAAGATGTCTGGAGTAGACTTAGGATATATTTTACCTTCTACCAGTGACTCCAGGTGACGCAAACACTAAAATGTACATTCTATAACTGGGCCTTACTCCAATCTCTTGTTTTTTTTCTGGACAACGAATCATCAGCGTCGGAGTCAGCTTGGCCGCTGTTGAGTTGGACCGTCACTTTCACTGATCGAAGAAAACGCATCGTTTTGTCCTCCACGCCAAGAAGCAAACAGCGACACCTTTGCGTGTTCCCAACTAGAAAACAGCGACAATTGTTGTAGTGCTGAAGGCCTATGCTTTGCCCCTAATCAAAATCACATTTACCAGCTGATTTGGAGGATCCCCTTGTCAATCCTATGTTTTGTGGACTTGTTTTGCGGGACGCCTTTTTTTTTCGTCGTCAACGGCTGTTCCGCCTTGCACCTCTCCATGTTTGGATGCTTTCCCCCGCCAACACGCGACTCACCTCGCGAGTCGCCGGCTCCAGGATGGTCCTTTTCTGCCTGCTGCTGCTGCTGGCGCTGTACCTCTTTGCGTCCAAATCTTCCGCGGCTCCGTCGGCCTTCCTGGGTGGCCCGACTGCACCCCAGACACCCAGCTTGCAGACTTGCAGGTGGGTCTTGATCAAAAAGGTCCTTATCTTGACTGCTATTGAGCAACGGATCTTTAGACTTTAACTTTTTGGGAAATCAAGGCGTTTTCCACCAAACCCACAAACAGTTAAACTTTTTGCAGAGGGATCGGCAGCAACCAAGTTATGGAACGCCGCCGAACAGATGAGTTTCACCACAAAATGGGAAAGGTTGCCCATGGTCATTTTGGGGCCAGGAATGTTGACCAACCCACTCGTGGTCGGTTTTGGTGCCAGCATGCGGGAAAGCAACAGGAAAGCAACCATAGCAACGGATCTCTTGCTCCCACAGAGCGGTTCTGCAGGTTGATGGCTGTGTTTTTCTTCTCGGACCATAGGAAAGGGGCCGCTTGTGGGGATGAGAGACTTGGCATGAATCCCCGAAATCCAGACCTGAGGCAATACCCCGTCATGAGCCACTTTTGACGCTGCGTGGCGCGTGTCGCTGACTGCTTGAAGCAGCCATGCTCAAAATTCACCCTGCGCGGCGCGATAAAGTTGTGAGCCCAAGGGGGCAGCGCGCAGGGGAAGAGGTTTTGCTTCCGCTTCCTTGTACAGTTGGAAGCTTGCATCAGGATTCAAGGCAGTACGTCGCGAGATTGTTTGTTTTCTTTGGCAGTTTCAAAACAACATTCTGCTGCATGTCTTTTTGGGGAGCTGGGATCCTCCAAGGGGCTCGGAGCGCGTACAGCCTGCTCCGTTGCCTTGGCAAAGACGTGGTGCCTTTGTGTCCTGTGCCAGAGACGTCTTGCTCGCGCCCCAAGATGGTGTCGAACGGGTCGGATCTAAGGGCCTGCCGGGTCGAAGTGTCTTTCTTTTTATAAGTCCCTGGTTTAGGCTTGTCCCCTCAGGTGGCACTGCATTTCCTCTCAAAAGCTGCAATTTACTGGCGCGTCTTGTTGAATTCCCGAGGCGGTGAGGAAGCACACAGAAGCCGGCTTGGTTTCAAAGGGGGTTCGGGCAGGGAAACCACTCGTTTCAATTGCACCCGCTAAGGCACTATCTGAGGCGGAAGCAAAGGTAAGCCCACTTGAAAATCTTCCAATTGCATAAGAACAAGTGTTTTTTTTCTTTCTCCGGTTGGTTTCAAAAAGAATCTATCACCACTGGAAATATGATGTTTTTTCCAGGGGACTTGAGCAAACGGATGACTTTCAGGCTGGCGTGAGCCTTCTTGCAGGCGCTGATGATCGCCCTTTCCAATGTGATGCCTGAGCTCCTGGACGGCGAGTCAAGGCGGATGCAG